TCCTAATCTGCTCCATCCGGTCAGCCTCACTGTGGAATTGACTCAGAACTGTCGAGTCGCGGATGGGTCCCTTCTCGGCACTGACGCCATTCAGGTAACCTCGTAGCGACGTGACGTCCTTCTCCAGTCCGACAATGACGTTCGATTTTTTTTAAAAAGTGGCCTCTCTAGATGCACATAGCAAGTGCCCCAGTGCAGATGCGTCGACATGGTTTTTAGTTCTTTAGTTCAGAAACTTTGCCATCTCCTGCACTCGACATGCCACTGACCCGGGGGCGAGTCTTCGACGCACGGTCTGCCTGCTGAGAGCTTCTGCCCACATCGATCGACAGATAAGAAGGGACGATTGCATCAATTGTCCTAGCAACCAATGCAAGACCGAGTCGGTCACATCTCTCGACGGCTCGCCGCCTTCAACATCCTCTGTCTCGATCGGCGCATCTGAATTTAAAAGGGGCATTTAAAAGTAATGTCAAGTTACTATGCTACCAGAAATCAAAAGGAATTTCTTACATACCCATGAGCCTCTCAAGCTCTGACGTAGTCAAGGGAAGACCTCACTCTCTCGCTAGGGCGCCTCCTCTCCTTTCTTCTGAAGGTAGCTGCGAAGGGTCACCATCACCTCCGCTCTCGGGCTACTGTGATTGTCAGCGGCCGCCTTTACGGATCAGGTTGACGGCTCCACCACAACCTTGTTTTTGCTCGGGCCAAGATCCATAGTTTTTTAGAGAAGCCTCTTCGGCAGCAGAGGCTTCGGCAGCCGCCCTTCTGGGTCCTTTGAAGAAGCAATCTGATTAGCCAGCTCAGGGTTGGTTGGCTCTCACCCCCTCTCTTCTAACCACCGCTTTCCTTTTTAGGATTGATGCTGGAAGAAGATATGTAAATCCGGCCAAGGCCAGTAGGCTCGGAATGACCGTCTTTTTGCTCGTACCACTAGACATGATGTCTACCCAGCAGTCCAAAATACATTGATAACAGATAAACAATCGAATTCATGGCCTTATTTATAAGACACACGCCACGAAAATGAAGGGAAAACTAATTATTATTATTTTTCTTTTTGGTTTCTATAATATAATTAACTAATAATTTCTGTCCTTATTATAGCTGTCGCCACCAAAGGAGCAGTAAAACTTGGGGAAATAATATGTATACACCAGAATTACAGGCACAAATCTCAAAGAGAACGACGACCGAGAATACAAAGCTTCCCTCTGAGGTAAGCGATCGACCAATAATTTACACCAAACATGAGAAGCAGCGTCTCTAAACATGCGATAGGTCAAAGCTCCAGAGATGACTCCCTAGTCAGTAGAGACAAGATTCGTTGAGGGTGAGACACATCCCGACAGTGTCTTGTCAGATACCCCGCACAGGTAGTGACAAGATTTACCCGACCTTGCGAGATGGGAGATTCGGCTGAGACAACGAAATGACCAAGTAGACGAGACACAAGTCCTGTAAAACTTGAACCAGATAGTAAGTGAGTCAAGACTCACCTGACGAAACAAATCGACATGTCAGTCGACCGACCGACCAAAACAATAGGTCTCACAGAGCCTATCATCTAGACCGCTCGACAAAACAGATAACCATATTCAAACCAACCGAGTACGCCCTCTCGGCATAGTCGGATTCTAGACAACCGATCGATACGATCGGTCACTTGCCGACTGACATAATTCACTTAAACTCGTAAGTCATTGTAAGCCGTTATTCTCTGTCAATATTATGACGATCCTTAATTCAAAGTATATACATTAATTCTATTAAGTGTAGTTACCATAATGATTCTCACATTCCTTAATTGTACTAATTAGACCTCTTTAAATAGGCAGTCTCAAGAGGAATACAGGGACTCTCTTTGACCTTCTCCTGAGAAAATTATCGTGACGCTCTCTCTTTCTATATCTCTTACCTCTTTCCATCCCGACTCTCAGTGTGTGTTCACAAAAAGACAATTTCGGATTCAATATATATATATATATAATATATATATATATATATATATATATATGAAAGTAATGTGTAGATGTTAGATATGTAAATTAATAGGAATTGTGTGGCAGAATGTAAATGACCCATTCCTTTGTTAGTATTATTATTCTATTTCCGCCACCGAGTATGATCTTATTTTTTCTCCCTTGCCAGGTTAAGATAAATTGATTAGCGACAAAATGGTGTTGATTGAACTTGTGCATCCATCAGATTAGTGATTGTTAGTAGCATTATTTGTTAATATCATGATATTCACATTAATTTTGTATTTAATAGTATACTTATGAAATACCAGTGTTAATACATGACCGGGTTGAGACCGGCCCGGCCCGTCGCCTTACCTTATGGGATGATTTTCTTTTTGACTTTCAAGCAGCTTAAATGATTTAGGGCTTAGGGTGATTATATTTTATCATCGTAATCGACCCTTTTTTAATGAATGGGTTATATTAAAGCTGGAGTATATGTTCCAACGGCGTTAAAAATTGAAAGGGTAATATTTTATTTTACAATTATTTAAAATTTTATCAATAAAATTAGAATTAATAACTATTTTTTTAAGTTTAAATTGATAGTATTTTACTTTTAAAGGTATGTGATTAATCTCAATAGTTTATTCTTATATATTTATATGTTATTTATTTTGAAGGCATGTTTAACTTTTATATATTATTTTTATTATATTATATGTGATGAGTGTTTGGTGCGGCGATGCGGTGGTGGTGTAATGTCACAATGCAGTTTTTTTATTGTTCGGCAAAATTGTGTTTAGCCTGTGTTCTCAAAATATTATAGAAAAATTGAGTTTTTCCATCAGACCCGATTATCTTTGGTGGATGCTAAAAAGTTGCAGTTGGATTTAAAAAAAAAAAAATTATAATAGTCACTGCAGTTTTTTGAACTTTTTCTTCTTTTGCAGCGTTATAGCTGCTTCTTAGAATAGCTGCAGGTGTCCCAAATAGACTAGTTTAATTTCTAGAGTAATGTTATTGCAAGTTGAAATTATATCTTTAAATCAATTTGCTATTGTAACAATATATTGAAAAAAATTATTTTAAATAGTAGTATTAGAGTGAACTTAAAAAAAAAAGTCATTTTTGTAGTGTGCGATGGTTTGGAAATGAGAGGTTCATGCCCGTATCATTGAAATTTTCGCTAAGGTAAAATCTATAATTTTAAAATGAATTATTATTTGTGCTTGCTAAGGAGAATTTTATGGTAATATTAAAAAAAAAGACTTTTTTTTAATATATATATATATAGTTTGGCCTTGAGTCAAGTGTTTATCCATGAGATGAAACCATTGTTAAAGCACTTTAATGTTAAAAAAAACTACTTATGATGAATGGGATTAAGGTGAATAGTGAGTATTTTGAGATCATGGATAACTTTACCATAATGCTCTTTTAAAAAAGGAGTTTTTACATACATAATATCAAAAACTTTCATATTTACCTATCTCAGATCTAAATTTTCATAGTTATAAACATCACATATAGAACAACACTCATTATCACATTTTAATAGCAAAATCATCTTAAAGTTTAGGTATAAGATAACTAAATCCATAAAAATTTGGTGCTATTGATGTAATTTTCTCAAGTTCAAGTCGAGAGTGACTCCAACTCGAGTTGACTCGTTTAAACCCCTAATATGTATCAAGATTTAAGCCGTAATATCTCATCACGACCTTCTCTTAGTTCTTACCGCCATCATCCTAATGCATGCGTTGCTTATGGAATTGCCATATTTCATTCCCACAAGACTTTAATCCTGTAAATGGCAGTTTAAATAAATGAATTGCCACATTAATAACGGCCAAACTATATAATAGAATTAGTACATTATTTTAATTGACTTTCAAACTATTATTTATATGTATATATTTATATATCAAAATGATCATAATCAAATACTCATATAATTATATATATATGTGTGTGTGTGTGTGTGTGTATATATATATATATATATATATATATATGTTTATTAATTTGAGAAACTGGGGCTAATAAAAAAATGGCATTTTTTCATTGGACAACAGAGGATTTCAACTGTCAAGAATCAGTAAGAAATGCAGCACATGCTTTGTTTTACGTACTTGTCAAATTTTGAAAGCAGGATGTATGATAATTTCATAATAATCCTAAGCCAACCGACACTTTTTTTAAATTTCATGTATATTTTATAATTTATTATAAAAATTACGAATTTCAAAATCAATAATTGCCTACTCTGAAAACAGAACAAGATCCTCCTCTGTATGCTTGCCGGAACGAAACAATATTGCATCTGGACTACGAACGTAATGTTATGTCTGGACAACATACGCTATATATTGGACGAAATGTATCTTCCGTCCGGGCTCTGGACGTAATATTTTTTCTACCGAAACAGCTACTATTCTCTTAGAAAAAAATATTTAAAATTTATCTAACTATGTATATTTGTCGATTTTTTTTTTGGCATAAATGATGTTATATTATCAAATTAGGGATTCTGTTCTTTCCAGTTAGCACACTAACTGCAATTTGTGCGGTTAAAAAGTCTTCATATTGGATGGTCATGATTCATTGCTTGAAAAGCTGAGTGATTTTTAACTAGATTTTGGATGGTAGGATTTATAACTTACCATGTTACTGGAGATTGAGTATTCAAATCTAGTAATCACTATGGTTTCTTACATTGGTCTTATTATTATGCATTTCAAATCAATTTATCTTTTTTTTTTTTTTATCTATAAATTTATAAAGCAATTTAAAAATGGGCAATTTAATCTAAATACAACACAATTCTTATGTATTTATATATCTAACCCTTGAACTTTCGTATTTATATGACATTTTTGTTTTTTAATTGTATCAAAATATATACATAAAAGGGTGCATTCACTCTCTTTGTTTCTATGAATCGACAAAGTCTTCTTGTTCATAAACTAAGTGTGCAGATAAGTTCAGAAAAAAAAAAAAAAATTCAGAGAAGTAAATCTTAAATTAGTGTTGCAATTACAATTTGATTTTGCAGGCTGAGCACTGAATTGTTGATCTAGAGGAAACAACTGAATGATATGCTCTGTTTGGTACCTTATTTTGGTAAAATTTGCATATATAACAATTACAACTTAGAAAATAACATTCATTGCAGATAATATACAGAACCTCAAACTCAATATGGATGGTGCTGGCGGTTTCCTCCTGGTACTGATGAAGTTCTTGGTGTTCTGGAGTAAGTTCAATAATGGCTGTCAAAGAGTACATAACCATGGCGAGATACAGTAATGAAAAGAAGCCTTTCCCTGTTAGCAAACAGGTCACAGTCTGAGGTTCAAGTCTAGCTTCTGTACATCTGATCCTGTTTCAGAAAATTTAGACTTCTGAAAACTACCCGGCCATGCCATTTTTGCTTTTTCCTCAAGAGAAAATGCTGCACAAGCCATGCTGAAATCTTGAAACCTTGCTGTAATGGCCATATTTCCCTCTCTGTTGGACCTGTTAACCACGGCATGTTGCTGAACTCGCAGAGAGTGGAGGAAGGAAGGAGCAAAGGGTAAGTCTATCATCATTCTCTGCGACTGATAACTCCTTTTAGCTGCTCCTCTTTCTCTCTTGTGAGCATTTTGATGCCCTCCTAAAGCCTGGGAGCTGTAGAATTTCCTCATGCAGAAGTTGCAGGAAAACACCTTTAATGGTGTTGATTTCCCATTAGAGCATGAAGGAGTTCCAGTTCCTGCCGAGGAGTTGTTTCCTCCAAGAGTTAAGTCCAACCATTTTCTGGACTTTTCATCGTTGTCTTCTTCATCTGCATAATCTTTATGTTGGGATCTTACTCTCTCCTCTTCTGGTTTCTCCCATGCTCTCATCTTCGGAATTATCAGTATAGGATGGGGGTTGGTTTCCATTAAAAAGGAGTACAGGGTTAAAATGGGAATAAACGATGCTATAGGTGAATAAGTTGAAAGAAGAACTGTGTATGGATATTTTTTAGCTGTTTATCTCTTTCATTTCAGGCCCACATTGTGGTGCATGTTATTCCAATGGAAATGCTTGCATCATAATTTCTGTTTACACATATCTATCTTTAGATTCTGTTTATTTTATTTTCTCATTAAGTGAGGTTTACTTTATTATGTTCTTGTTATTTTGACCCCCAATTAATAAACTAAGGCAAAAGGGCAATTTTGTAATGTGGCACCGCCACCTACCACATCTCACCTACCTCTCACCTACCGGCCACCTACCGGCCACCTACCACCCACCTACCTCCCACCTACCACTCTCTTGCTTCTATAAATAGAGAGGGTGTGAGGCCTAGGAGAGCAAGGGAAAGAAATCTTAAGGGTGTGAGGCTTAGGAGAG